TGTAGGCTTCATATATATATTATTCCAATGTGTTGTTTAGGTGCAGATCGGCAGGATTTACATGTCAGCTACACCACACTTGCATGTAATATGTTTTAAATAAAAAGTGAACTCTAGGCAAAAAAACAAAACAAAACCCCTTTCATCTAAATACATTCCTCAACAGCCCCAGAGGATATAAATACACTTTGTGTGTGCACTTAGAGAACTCCAGAAATTGTTTTTTTAATTAACCCTTGCAGTGGGGTACCCCTGCACTGAAAGGGTTAACTGCTCATTTTTGTCGGTTTTAAAAAAAATAAATAAAATGTATGCGCCCCTGATACTTTGAGCGGGATTGTTCTTAGACTGGTCCCTGGAGCCTCTGTCCCCCTCCTCTGCAGAGGTCTAAGCTCCTGTAAATCATCACGTCTATACGCTTTGTATAGAGGTGAGGATGCTGAGGAAGATTACAGTGGTGGCGTGTTTAAAAGCTGGAGCTTAGGGTGAGCATAACGTTGTTATTTTATCACCTAGACACAAATGAGCACTGAACCCTTGCAGTACAGGGTTAATAAAACATTTTCCAGGGGTTCTTCATTACCATATAAAAGTAGTGGTGACATCATCATTGTGCTGCAGGGAGCAGAGTTGTGGAAGGTTATGACTAAATCATCAGCCCATAGATGAAATGTAACACTTGGTCAGTTTCATAAGGTGTTATATTGGCAGAAGTCATTCCGCCATCACTCTCCCAATGCCTAGAGTTTAGGGGTTCTAAAGCTTTCCAAAACTATGGGGGGGGGGGGGGGGGAAATAAAGTTATACTTAAAACTGGTTTCAAGGTCAGAGACTCCCAAATATGTATTCCAGCTGTGTATATAGCTGTTTGACTAGAGTTCAGCTTTAAGTAAGACTGAGGTTACAGGAAGTGGTTTAATCTGCTTCCTACCTGTCACTTTGCTGCAAGGGAGGTTACTGCCAAAAGCAGTATATTTTTTTATTGGTTGTAAAGAAATGTAATCACATGTGTAGCCCTAGCATGGGGTTGTGGGTATGTTTCCTGGTTGGCAAAATATCACCTTTGGTGTATACATCAGTGCCAAACATTATACCAGCAAGTTTTTGTTGCCTATACATAGGTTGTGCTGAGACACCATGCCCATATTCATGATTCACCCAGCTTACTCATTCCATTTTCATCACGACAAATCTGCACAGAATGGCTTGGTAGAGGTTAGAGGAAGCCCTGTGACAGTTTATGAAGGGCAGCACCTTACCAACAATCTCAGTAGATATGTAAATGTGCCTCATGTGTAGAACAGTACAGCCAGAAGTGAAAAATACTAGAAAGGAATGTACTATTACTGCACAAGACAGAAGTGACTGCACAGGGCCTCTGTGTAGGATTGGGTTTCAAACCTGCAGGAGAATGTAATACAGGTGAACTGTCCTCTAAGTGTGTAGGAGCCAGCTCACCCAATGAGATCCTATGGAGTGTAGTCCCATGGATCACCTTTGTGGCCATTTTCAATGAATGAAATGACTCCTAAACTTGTATGCATCAAGCTGTCACACCGTGAAATTACAATGACACTGCTGATATACAAAATGTTTCTTCAGGTCAATACATTTAAATCCTGCTCAATTTCCAGGAATCACTTGCACTCTTTTTCTTGTCATGACTGTTGCAGCTGGTTATTGTATTTATTTTATACAGCTTCCCCAAAGAAGGAGAGCAAATACATGAAACTGAGTGGTAATGCAACATCTGCCATTACCCAACTACAGACATAGAAGGATATTTATTAAACCAGCCTGCTTCAGTGCCGGAGTTTACAAAGATATGACGAGTGGTGAATACAAACATGGAATCATAAAGGAAGAGTTAAAAGGAGAACTATGGGGTCAGTGTTTTTCCCCATAGTTCTCCTTGGGGTAACGGGAGGACACAAACTAGCGTCCTCCCGTTACCCTAAATCCATCCCCCTACATTTGACACTAACCAGGCCCTTTGTGTGTTCCTTCTCAAACTCATTTACCAGCAAACTACTAATGTGATCACACAATGCTGCATACTCTTATTTTGGAAGTAAATCATTTGAACCTTGCAACACTTTGTTTCTTATGCAGGTCAAGGTCTCCCCTTGATACATGATGGCTTTTCACCAGTCTGAAGGCATCAGTTACATGGAGGTGCCTGTGGTTTTGGCCTACAGGTATTCATTAAGAGTCAAGATGGTTTCATATCTTTATTGAAATTGTAAACGCCCAAAAAAACATAAAAACATTACAGCTGAAGTGTGTAAAAAGGATTCCCTGCATAAGCCAGCCAAAGCTGGCAGTAAAATGATGTAGCGTCATTGCCATATCTTCTAACGTGGAGCTGCACCCAGTTCAGTGTGGCGTAGATTTGGGGCCTGTTAGTATCCTCCTACACAGTCTGAACTTCCAAGTATTTTTCAGTATTAAAATCACAACTCTGGTCGCTTTGCATAGATTTCAGATGAAGGGTGACCTGTCTCTAAACACTATTACTTGGAGCTGACCAAGAATACAGACTGCATTCCAGTGGGCTGGCAGAGCCCAGACATGGACGACACCACCAGGTGGATGGGAATTCAGAGTAATCTTGTCTATGTAACAAAAAACCTAATTCCACAAGTCTACAAGGCCCGCCCCCACTAGGGTCATCAGAATTGTGAGTGGACATCTCTTGAAAGCAAAATTGAGACTGACATACATGACTGTCGTAAAAGAGTGGTATGGGTAGACTCATACTGAAGAGTTCTAGCTTGGGATGCACAGATATATATCGGTTTTTCGGTATAGAGTACAAATACCAAGACTTTTTTCGGTACTCGCCGGTACCAATGCCACAATTATCAGGAAGTTGGGGAGGTGGATCATGACCAGTCACCTGGCTTCCTGATTGCCTGTGAAGCCGGTGTTCTAGCAAAAGAACACCAGCTTCAGAGGTTGCCTGGCTTCCTCACAAATCAGGAAGCCAAGCGGCAAGTCATGAGGTGCTGCCCATTTTCATGATTGGATAGGAAGCTGCTTCACTTGTTTCTAGGCAGCGTGGCTTCCTGACCAAATCAGGAAGCTAGGGCACGATTCATGATTGGTTAGGAAGCCAGGCTGCCTACCAATAAGTGAAGCTGGTTTCCTAGCCAATCAGGAAACTGGGTGGCAGGACATGACCTGCCTCCCAGCTTCCTGACTGGTCAGGAAGCCAGACTTCCTGACCAATCAGGAAGCTGGGAGGCGGGTCATTACGTGCCACCCAGCTTCCCGATTGGCTAGGAAGCTGGCTTCAAGTGTTGCTGATTGGTTAGGAAGCCAGGCTGCTTAGCAAGCCAGGAGGTGGGTCATAACCCACCACGCGGCTTCTCGATCTGGCTAGGGAGTCCGCTCCATTCTCCCTCGGCAATTGCGGTCAGAGGGAGATCTACCTCTGACCAGCAGGTAACTATCGATGGAATTTTGGTGACTACAAGTACTCGGTATCGGTGCATCCCTGGTTCTAGCCAAATCACAACAGAACTGTCCGCTGTGTGAGCTTCGTCAGTGTCTCTTTAATAACTGCACACCATGGGAGCTTCCATCATTCATCATACAGGCCTGCCTCCACTGTACTGTTCTCTCATTCGGGGAAGACTATCCAACACACAGGTAATCAGGAAATAAAAGTACCATTTCCTGTACAATCAGATCTTATTGCGTTACCAAACAAGCAACATTACTTGCAAAGGACACATTTTATATTTACAAATGTCTGAATACCACTACATTTAAAAACAGAAAAATGATCTTGACAAATGCTAAAATAACATCAGATTTCAAATCAAAACCTGAATAAAGTTGATCCATTTAGCAGTTTAACATGAAATAATCAGTATCAAAAATACACTAAAAAAAGTCAACTCATCATTTACTAATACATATTGCCACATCCGTCAGTTTACAGAAACTCTACTGACATCGCCACGTTTTCCTATAAGGCTTTCTTTGTGAATTGCTATTCCAATTGTTGGCTTTGTAGGAGGAGTCATGAGTGATAGTGCAATATAAGAAAAATAAGTTAGAAAAACTTGAAATTACTCAATCAGAATTTTATAAATAAAAACAAGGTTGATCATGTGGGTGGAGAAGATTGCTTAGAGGCTGCATAGATACGTTTTCAAGAAGAAGACAAAAAAACATCTACCAGCTGGGCAAAAAAAAGGTAAGAGGAAAAGAAAAACAGGGTTTGGAAAAGAATGGTCACGTATGCTTTTTCAAGAATAACCTCCTAAAACATGACATGGAAAAAGCACTTTATTGTGGAGGCTGGAAAGCATACGCATTGCTAAGAAAACTCAAGTACAGAACATATACAGCGCATCAAGATCCTTTACTGTCCTAAGATTTGACTTCTTGTTTTCATATTCAAACAGCCTGACTGGAAGAAAACCTGGAAAATATATGTATATATGCTTCTACAGCTATATACACATACATATTATTTATAAAGACATACATATTTACAAATATCATTACAATGCCGATTTATTCTATCTTTGGTATTACATTGTAAAGGTTCCTCGATTAACATTCTCCTCAATAGATCATTTAGCTGTCCTGTTTATGGCTCTGTTAAATAGGAACAGGGCCCATGTTCTTCAGACAGAAAACATACATTCTACAATTATATACTCAAACACCCCAATCTACTTAAAAAATGTAAGATTTGCTATTAAAAATGTTGTGTTGCTTTAAAATAGCGAAGGCAATGCTGGTTACAAACTAAAACACAACATCGTTTCCATAAAAAACAAACCATTGTCATCTAGGTTTTACTTTTCATACTTCAGTCTATGATTTTTCTTTAAATATCATTTTGTACAAACATTGGATAAAAGAAGCTAAAACGGGGAAAGAAAAACAGCATTTCAGATATATATACCACATTAAAAAAACCCAGTAAACGTGTGGGGGAAATTAAGATTTTCTCTTCCTGATTACATTTTCACCAGAACACAGTACATTTGGAGGAAATATACCATCTTGCCTCCAAGGGGACAAGTCATCGGTACAGAAGGATTGAAAACTCCACAGACTGCATTGTCCAGTTCTTACACCAGGTTGAACTCCCGAAGGTTTAGCTGGAGGATAGTGTCTTTAACAGCAGCGAAGACAAAGCGAATGTTCTCCGTGTCTGTAGCGCAGGTGAAGTGAGAATAGATGACCTTCTCTTTGTCAGGGTTCTGGTCTTGGTAGAGTTTTAGAATGAATTCCCGAGCTGCTTTGGCATCGTGTTTAGCACCTTTGTCACAAACACAGAATTGATTAGAAATATACCCCTACAGAGACATGAATGTTGAAACTCAGTAGACCTACTACTCCACTGTAGGGAGGAGCTGACCAGGTTAACGCCTTGTGTAGCAGAGCTTAGAGATGGGGAGAGAAAAGCAGCACAGAATGACACGAGGAGCTCATTAGTGTGCTGCTTCTCATGTTACAGGCTGGGAAGGGGTTAGAGAAGGAAAGACAAACCTTTTTTTGGGCTTTACATCTCTTTTGGGTCACAAGAGTACATTTACTAATGAGTAGAATGAGAACCTTCACAGACATTTACTAATGAGGTCATGTGACCCAAAGACAGCAGATAGTGGGCTGTTACTGCAGCTGGAAAGACTAAGTGACAGCTGGCTCTTTTGTCTTGTGATGGTCGTAAGCTTATTAAAAGCTCGTACGATCTGCCCACCTTGGACGGGCAGATCGTACTTGCGATCATCGAAAGCCCGCCCCGCTGAGGGGCAGGCTTCCAATGACCGCAATGCAGAACGGGCAGGGTGCGCGTGCACACACCGGCCCGTTCCACAGCTATCGAACGAGCAGGCTAGAAACCCGAGCATGCTGGTTCGACAAAAGACGTGCGACCGTACAGTAAAAACGGTCGCCCGTCTTCATTCACACTGCTCGATTCTCGTACAATCGCGGCATCGCGTATGAGAATCGAGTAGTGTACGGGCACCTTAAAGCTTCTGCCAATTGTGCCCACCACATCACCTGGCCAGACCCGCCAATGAGCGCTGGACTAACAGAGAGGGAAGTCCCTGCGAGGAGTGGTGACTGACAGTCTTCACAGGGAGAAGAAACCAAGAGGTGAGCGATCAGCGTTTATCATGATCGGTCAGCTCTTGGTCCTTAAGGGTTTAAGCTTCCCTCATGCACTATACGAGAACTTATATATGCATATGTCACATCAAATTAAAGCCCCTTTTAGCCTTTAAACAATGGTATATAATATGTGTTGGTGCCATAAATGAGAAAGATGGAAATTGTTGTTGAACACACACAGCAAGAAATGCTTTGGTCCTTAACTGAAAGACAAGCATCTGAAGCTTGGTCCTTAAGGGGTTAAAGAGCATCCTTTAACCGCTTTTCTACTGAGGCACCTTTATAAATGGCGGAGTGGTGGACTGTTGTTTACTCATTGCTGTTTAGAAATGTTGTTGTAGAAAAAGCCCTTCCGTGCCCACTAATTGCCGTGTACTGAGCTGTCATTGGCTAGCATGGTACACAGAGACAAGGTACAGAGGCAATCCAAGCCGCTGTGTAGCATGTGATCGCTGTGATAAGCAATTACAGGGATTACATTCTACTGCTTACATTGTTATCCCCTTCCTCTTACAACTGAGAAAGAAGCAGTATTCATGAATGGAAAATGAATGAATAGATCAGCATCCCACTGATTGAGGGATTATTTTGTTAACCCTTCCAGGGCCCAGTCACACCATCAAGAGTGCGTTCCAGTGTGTTCGGCCTCTGGAACCCAACCCAGCTGGCTCACTTTGTTTTGGGGTGGGAAGGGGCGTGGCGGTGCATTGAACTCAGTGGGACCGCAGCCACACACCAAACCGCGGTGTGAGTGCCTGCGTTCTGCTCCCGTGTGATCTGCCAAAAATAGTGCATGCAGCATTTTTTGCAGATCACACTGGACCACACTTGCCATGCGTTTGGGTGCCGGTGATCGCACCGTAGGTGGGGGTGTGTGGCTGCGGTGTCATTGACTTCAATGCACCGCCACACGCCTTCCTGCCCCAGGGAGCCTGCCAGCTTGCGTTCCAGTGCGCTCCAGAGGCCGAACGCACGCTTGATGGTGTGACAGGGCACTCATTCCTTCCTTTCCTACACATCTAAGCCCCATCCTGCGACCTGTATGTAGCCTGTACAATAACCCCTTCGCCTTCTGATCCCTCTGTGTATGACTTGATGTGCTGTATCTAGTGCACCGATACCAAGCTCCATGTTTTAACCCCCTCAATACCGGCATGTTTCTTCATTTCCAAAGAATTGTGGCAAAAAATGAGATCACTTTGGCGCGTCTTCTTTCCAAAAAGGGGCATTTCGGGGGTGATTGTACTCTCCTGACATTTTTACTTGAAGTAAGGGAAACAGGTTTTGTTTTTTTTAGTCTATTTTACTTTCTATAGTGGAAGATAGAGCTTTCTTCTGCTGGTATTTAATAACTACTGGGTTTTTTGTTTCTATCTATCTCACAAATGATATAAAATGTGTTTGGGTATAGTGTTGCACGAGTGAGCAATTGTCAGTTGAACTATCACAGCACTGAAAGCTGGAAAATGGCATGGTAATGAAGGGGGGGAAACAAGCTGGTACTCAAGTGGTTAAACAGGAACTCCAAGAAACACATAGTGAACTGCTAATGCTACCCAGGAAACTTCAACTTAACCAAAGCTAGTTACCTTTTACATACAATATTTTGCAGCCAGAGCTCCCAGCCAAGTTCTGCACTGTTCTTGGTGGGACTCTCTACGTTCAGTTTCCCTCTCCGAGTGTAATGCATGTGACTGATGCACCAGGGGCTTAGAGAACGAGCAGTATTTATGGACATGCTGGAGTGCCTTCTCACAGGCTGACAATTGGGATCATTTGTAGGTCTTTGAGGACACCAGCAACTCTACAGATTGAGTTACCTGGACCACCTAGCTGGGGCAGAAGATAAATAAGCACTCAGCAGGTAGGCTGGGTCTTCCTAGTAAATCTCGGTAACTGCACCCTTTCATATGCTTGGTCTATGTGTTTCATGTTGGGATAGCTGTACTTGACCAGTGAGGGGCTACAACACTATCAGATTTGACACTTCTGAAACTATACAGAAGTAAGTCCCACCCAAACAGACTTTAAACGTTCTCCTTTATGCCATCTTAACAATACAGTGACCGTGTCCGGTGCTTACCAGTGAACTCCGGGAAGTAGTCAATTAAATGAGAGAATTGGATTTTTTCCTCTAGCAGATCCTTCTTATTCAAGAACAGGATGACAGAAGAATTCAGAAACCAGGGGTAAGTTATGATGGTCCTGAAGAGAGCCTTGCTTTCCTCCATTCGATTCTACACAATAAGATGATTGCAGATATTATTATTAACAAAATGAAAAAGTGCAGCTTACTATGCAGGAAAAAATCAGAAGGTGCACCTAAACCCAAGAACAAACATGTAAGCTGAGCTGCATTCGTTTTAACAAGCTTTTTACCCCTTTATTTTGACCTGCTGATCTTTCAACAAACTAATTTCCTGTCCAAGGTGTGACAATGCACACTCACTGACTGCACTGCATCTATGGAGGAACAAAGTTGTCACCTCCCTCTCTCCATAACATAGGGTGAGGTTTTCTGTAGAGCAAAGAAATGGACTGGGCACAGCTGATGAAGTTTGAAATAACTTGCAGAGCGCACAGGACAACAGGTATATTTTTGCACCTATCGTACAGACTAAAAGGGAGCAAACGAGAAGTTCATTGTTAGGGTTTATATACACATTAACAAAGGCATGTCAAGCTCTGAGTACTGTTGATGTCCTAATAAAGATGTAATGGGGGATCCTTTTTAAGCTGGTATCCTCTTTGTTCGTGTGGGTCAGTCCTAAACTATCCAGACATTGATGTCAGTCAATAATGAAACCCATATACGGGATTACCTCATTGTCGCATTCTGCGAGGGCCTGATCATATTCACTCAGTGCCACCAGGAAAATGATAGAAGTGACATTTTCAAAGCAGTGGATCCACTTTCTTCTTTCGGATCTCTGGCCACCGACATCCACCATCCTATCAAGCCAATAAGAAGAATCCTTTATTGCAGCAATTTAGTTTAAGAAAGGTCATTAAAATCCATGAAAACATGACGGTGATGAACCTGGTTGGCTGCTGGGAGTGAAGACTCTCCTCTGTATCAGTTTGTGAATGGGACATGGGAATGTCAGAGCTACACAGACAACAATTGTTCTCACAAGTAATTCAGCCTTCCACAACCTATACAAGGCTTTTTTTAACCTGGTGGGAAACATCTACCTTTACATGTAAGATATACATATGTTCAAACATATAGCACAGCACAAGTCCCCCCAGTGTATATCATTAGGCATCTGTACTCTAGTGTTGAGATAAAAGAGAAAAAGGAAACCACAATTTACTTCAGAAATGATTTCACTAACAAAAGGTTATGGGAAGTGTACATTCTGACACAATGTATCCTGTTACATTCTGCCTACCTCATTCAAAAACTGCATCGATGCTGCTTAAATACAAACCCCAAAGTCTTTTCTGAGGCCTGGGGATTTGACGCTTACAGTTAACTATTTCACTGTCCAAGAGAAAATGCCTCGTCAATGGTAGTGTATTACATTAGAATGTTACAATGGAAATACAATCCTGACCAGCATTACACAAATGGATTTGTAAACTAGTAAATACAATGCTCTGTAGCAAGATGCTCTCAAAACTACAAACTGTAAATGGTTGCATTCAAATCACCCCAGATGGACAGCCATGGATTGTACAATATGTAGGATGAAGAGCAGAAAACCCATTTCTCAGTAGCATGAGACTCCAATTAATAGGAGTTTGTGCCTAAACTACAAAGAAGGAGTCTGATCATGGACCTGGGAGGGAGTCAGGAGTACACTAGGAGCATGGAATCTGGCCAATCGGAACATCCTGGAAGCTGTTTAGAGTCAACAGAAGGACACACAGTGAGTTCATCCATGTGGTGCAGAGCTGATGGGTGCACAGCTGGTTAGCCCATGTGGTGCAGAGCTGACAAGAGGTGGCACAGCTTTTTTAATTGCATGGTGCAGAGCTGTTGGGTGCACAGCAGGTTGAACCACATGGTGCAGAGGTGGAACAGCTGGTTTACCCACATGGTTCAGAGCCGACAGGTGCACAGCGGGTTGAACCACATGGTGCAGAGGTGGAAAAGCTGGTTGACCCAGAAGGTTCAGAACTGACGGGTGCACAGCGGGTTGAACCACATAGTGCAGAGCTGATGGGTGCACAGCGGGTTGAACCACATAGTGCAGAGCTGATGGGTGCACAGCGGGTTGAAACACATAGTGCAGAGCTGATGGGTGCACAGCGGGTTGAACCACATAGTGCAGAACTGACGGGTGCACAGCGGGTTGAACCACATAGTGCAGAGCTGATGGGTACACAGCGGGTTGAACCACATAGTGCAGAGCTGATGGGTGCACAGCGGGTTGAACCACATAGTGCAGAGCTGATGGGTGCACAGCGGGTTGAACCACATGGTGCACAGCTGTCAGACAGGTGTACAATGGGCTGACCCGCATGGTTCAGAGCTGACCGAGGACTGTAGCCGACTGAGTGGTGTACCGTGGGTTAAACCACATGGTGTGGAGCTGACCAAGGCATGCACAGTGCCTTAAACCATATGGTAAAGTGAAGCAAGAGAATAGGAGCTAGTAGTGAAGTGAAGCAGGTTACCTGGCAGTGGCATAGTGAACATGGAGCAGACTGAAGTAGATAGATTAGAACAAACAGAGGTGTGCAGAGAGAGGTAAAGATCAGAGCAGGTTGCACAGTGAAGTGAAGAAGGTAATGTGGAGGTTATAGAGGGAAGAAGAGTTGAGTGGAGCTGATGGAACCATGACTGCAGAGAATGCTGAAGTACTGAACACCTCAACAATCAGGAGTCGTCATGTGTTTTGCTGCTTGTATCATTTTATAGAAGTTTGAACAAAGGACCCATTCACATCTCTGTACTCTTGATTTGTCAGAGTGTGTGTTTCATGCAGTACCATTTGTGAGCTTCCTGGAAAAGGAATTAAAATGCTGCAACATGTAAACTGTTGCTTCCAGTATAGCAGTTGTGAATATTCTGACCATTACCATTTCAAGCAACCCGGTGACTTTATTTAGCAGCTATTCTCCATTCCGTTAACAGCTAATGTATTGTGTCCTATGCTTACAAATAACTACTGCTGGGTATATCTGTAAGTGACCTTAAGGTGAAGCTTGTATCATTTCACCAGAGTAAGAGTGTGGTAATCTCACCTGTCATAAGTTATAGAAAGGTCTGGCACCTCTCAGTACCAGGCTAGCACTGGAATATTCACATAGCTCTATATCCATACCGATTATATTTTGTGTGATAAACTGGGTGAGGAAAATGATCAAACCTTCCAATGGTGATGTAGTAACAATCCATGCACAAACCAAAGAATCAATGCAGGGTCTGCCTAGCATGGCTGACAGAAAGCAGAGCAAGAAAATGACCTGAGATCTGAAATACCTTCACGTATTAACATCTCACTGCTGGAGTCCTGGAATAGTGTGAGCAGCTGCCCGATACTTCCTCCCAACCTTACCCAACGTTATCCTTTCATTCCAGGGCAGAGCTAGAGAAGTAGGTTTCCTCTGAAAAGAACACAACTTACCTGAAAATAATATTTTCTAAATCAAAGGGATACTCGATGATTCCAGTAGTGGGCACTCTGACTCGAAGAACATCTTGTTGTGTGGGTACATAACCAGGTACAGCAATGCGATCTATGTCACTAAGGTAACTGAAATACAGGAAGGTCACATTTGATTGCTCATCAAAAGAAACTAACAAGATTGTAAAAGTGAATAAAGTTTAAACAATTATCAATGTTTATAATGGGGGCCAATGACTAAGCCCAAGAGAGGGCAAAATGGGTCAGGGGAGGAGCAGAGCTTGGCAGGACATGTAAAAGACACCTAGAGCAGTACCAATTTCTCATTGTCTCAATTGCTTTAGAAGGTCGAATCTGTAATTTGGTTGACACAGAATGTCAAAACCAAGATGGGTATATGGACTCCGTTCTGCTCTCTTTCAGCAGCAATTCACCAATACCCGTCTCATGCACTAGCAGCAGACATTGTGAACCTGCACAGGGGCTCTTAGAGGAAATATTGAGCTTCTCATGGGGTGTAGGTGTGCCGGGTATTATACTCACTATTTAGCAGAGTCAGACAGCTGGTACTCTCTCCTTCTGTCGTAGCACTCCTGGATGCCAGGGTCATCCCAGAGCTTCTTTATTGCTTCTACCTGTTTTCTTTCCAGAGTGCATACTTTGTCTACTTCAACTTCCCGGACCAGCAGTGAATTTTCCTAGAAAATACATTTATGAAAAGAGTTACAGCTGATTGGTGACAGGGAATCACAAGACATCCACAATATATACAAATCTTATACATTAGGTCATTAGGTAGAAGTGTCAATGTAAAGATGCATTGGAGCCAGTTGGGTGCACAGAATATATACACTTTATGAACATATATCTATATAGATAGATAGAGATCTATAGGAGATAGAGATCTATAGGAGATAGAGATCTATAGGAGATAGAGATCTATAGGAGATAGAGATCTATAGGAGATAGAGATCTATAGGAGATAGAGATCTATAGGAGATAGAGATCTATAACAATCTTAATGCACACATACACAAAATCAAACATACATGCCTTCTTAACAACTAATGACTCAAAATATGTTATTTGTATTCTTTATATTAGTGGTGCTTGTTATCACATTTTACAGGCCGCCATGGGAGGTGACACTACAAATCAATGATAATAAAATGTGGACATGCTTTGGGTGTAATTCTACTTTGTATCACAAGATGTCAGCATTTTACCAAAAGCACCATTATTACATTAGCAGTCATCAAATAACCTACAACAACCTTTGAATGGGGCTAGCAACATTAGGTAACAAAGTCAAATACGCTACTAATTTATTAATGGACATCAAAATATAGAACATAGACTCAAAATAAAAGTTTGTATCAGAAACTACCATAAAGAACAAGGTTTAGCACATCTGAAAGAAGAAGTATTGGGAGAGTAAAATGGACTCTTCCCATTACTCAGAGCCAGAGTGTGACACTGCAAGTTTGGCCATAGTTCTCCTGTAAACAAGAACCTGATGGAAAACAATGGTAAGCAATGGAAGCAGTAACAGGAATGCCGTGCACAGAAATCTCGGCGTTCTTGCTGCTGCTGCCATTTGAACACTTTGGTGGAAACAAGCTGAACCAGCACAAGAGATGTATCCAGGGAGACTAGAACCTAGTTTTACCTGAAGCGTCATGTCATGTGTTTAGTGTTGGAAATTATTATTATTGTATAGGATTTATATACCGCCAACAGTTTGTGCGGCGCTTTACAATATATATATATATAATTGCTACCAACATTGTTGGGGGCACCTGTCTGGTCCAGAGAAACTACTGGCTAAAGTACTGTCCAGAGAATGACGCTTCCAGGAGTGTCGATGTCCTGGTCCCCGGCGGAGCTTGGTGGTTCCTACTGCCGACCTTCACATTAATACAGGACACAGCAAACTGACCATCTGCATTCATGACTTCAAAACACATGAACCTGCTAACATATCATTGGGCCTTTGTCATAGCAACTAAAAGGATGTTCCAACCATTTAATCCCCTACACTGGAAAATGAGCTGCAATCGGTTTGGCCGACACAACTTTCCCCCTGCAGTGTTGTAAAATGGCTCTGATGTGTTACATAACAAAGAGACAAGTAAGACGCTAGAGGTTTCCAAATGGCCCCTGGCACTGGGAGCTTCGGTGACTTGTGGAGATAGACTGTACATCATCGGGGCTCCTGGCTGTCGGGCTGCTTTGGACTGTAACCATTTTAAAAGGTTTAACTGTGCTTGAGCTTCTAAGTAATTCAGCAGAGGATTATGTCTGAGCCCGTGTTTGTGTAAAGTCCAGCTTTAGAAAAAGCAGTTTTTACAGGAGATCCCGTCACTGCTTGGATAGCACATACAATGGGCAGAACAACAACATCTGTGTACTAACCCAGCCTTACTCCTCTAAGCAATAAATGACCTTCCTGAGATGAAGCATGCTCAAACCTGCTCTACTGCATTCTGCTCACACTCTATAGGCTAATCCAGGTGTGTATTCACAATATACTGCGTTTGTGTGTGCGTGCATGTACACAGTATACTGCTCAATGTATACACATAAATTGGCTAATTGTACAGCATACAAATGTCAGTCTCAGCAGCTCGATGCTTATGCATGGCATATGATGTTAACCACGGGCAGCAAACATGTTAGTAGTATCCACAAGGAGATGAAACTTGGAAGATACAATTTGAATGCCAGCCTGTAATCAAGAGACCTTAACCAGCTGCCTATCAAATAGGCTGGCGTTTGTTTTTTGTGTGACAAACTGGAGATATCGCATTTATATACTGTAGGAAATGGGAAATGAGAGATTTTCTCAGTGGGGAAACAGGTAGCTTAAAAAAAAAACCTGACAGCTTCTAAAGCTTAACTACTGTTAAACCTTTTTATTGCCACTGTCAACATGGGATACTTGGCCGAGAGGGGGGCATATAAAAGACACCAGGACTTCCATCTATGAGACCCTCAGCAGATTGGAAGTACAGCAGGGGGATCTAGACATGGCATACACCTCAGCAGAGGTATTTTTTCTTTTTTTGCACACCACAATTTACAAAAAGCTAGGTTTATGGAGTTCTGCTTTAAGGAAACAGCCAAAATAATGATGCTACATAATGATCCACCACTCCAGGGGACATAAATACATCTCCTCACTAAAGTCATTAATGGCTATTCATAGCGATGTCAAGAAGGCCTTTGTAACTGCTTAAAGCTGCACCTGCAAGCCACATATATTTATATATATCCTTCATCTAATTAAAGAGAAATATACTTTTCAAAAACAGAACTGAATTTAATCATATATATTAAAAACACTACACATTCCCTTCAGCCATTGAGATGTTTATGCATCATGAATAACCGAAAATAGAAAGGAAAAAGAAATCTTTCTTAAGTATCAGTTTTCAGTAAATGGAATTTGTAGCCTTTTCGATACAGCCGACTCCTGGATCCTGCGCAGGTCACTCTTCTATTGCTTCTACCTGGTACTACCAGCATTATGTTCTAACCTGTTCGTCTTGCTGCATCACCTTGTACACTTACTGCTGTCATCGCAAAGAATGTCAGAGCCCAACTACTGAGGTAAAAGGCCAGCTGCCTTCTGTACATCAACAACTTGGGGTGTGACCGATTCCCTTTATAGGCCTTTTCGGGGGTTTGCAAGGGATGAGACTGCGCATCATCAGCTGCCACAGGACCTAGTGAACGGGCGACAGAGCTGCTCCATGCTGGTGATGGACTGACATGCATGCACTGATCACAGCAAAGGAAAATATGCACAGCAACCATATCCCCTCCTCCGGACCTGGTGCCAATGGCTTCCTCATTATGACTCTGGCTTTGTGCATGTCACCAATCATCATGTCTGGTGGCCAAAATGTCACCCAGCTATGAGGCTAAAAGGAGGAGGAGTGCCTAGGCACAGGAAGTGCACTGGTCATTTTCTGGAGGGCTTCAAGACAAAAAAGGTAAATATTTTAGGATGTTCCCTATTATTTGGCAAGCCTTCAGTTTTTAAGTTCAGGTCAACATCAGAGTGGTCACATTTCATCCTATTCAAAATACTGTCCTGTGCCAAGATAGTTTTTGAGAAACAAAAGAACATTTGCAACAGGATAGCACAACCAGTTCTTCATTTGTTTTGCCCTAAAGGAAATTCAGAAAGTCTCCAAATATGTCTTCATGCTCATGATGTCCAGCAAAGCCTGAGCTCCGTTAAAGTTGGCAGGGTTTTTCTGAGTAATGTAGACGCAAGCACTTGCCAGCGAAGTGTTAAACTAACCCGTAGTAGTCTAAACAATGTGGGATGCATTTTATCGCAGCAGCGTTGTGTAAAATATATCAAATCATAGTTTACCCTTTCTGACGAGGAATCAAAAATCTTTAACACCACAGTCGCCAAGGGCTTTACAGGCATTTGTTAAGTTATGTAAATAGAAGTTTGCGAGCTTGGTTTTGTTGGCGACCTAGATGTATGTTGTTCTAAAAAGGAGACACACCCACTTCCCTATTTTGACTCAGGATTTCCTCAGCTCTCACCTCTTCTTACCTTCCCATGGACACAGTCACCACTAGGGTCACTTTTAGCTCACATCCTTTACCAGTTCATGTCCTTCCATTTGCAAAGCAGGCTGACAGCTAAGGCTAAAACTGCTCACTAGTAAGCGGGTCACAGGGAGTGCAAAAAAAGGAAGAACAGTTCTTGTCCCCATGACAATCACAGACTCCCCTCTTTTCTCCTTTACTGCACTGGCAGCATGAGACAAGAAAGCATTGTGCTAACAGCAACACTAACAACTGCTCTTTGGTGTGCAGACGTAGGATGCTAGAGGCCCAGTTTGGTCATTATTTTATATTTCTCAAAATGCCTGTTTGATCAAGGTCTATACATATATATTTTATTTATTATTAGTTACTTTTAGTTAGTTATTCAGTGTATATAGGAACGCTTAAAGGAGAACTATGAGGTGAGTGCTTTTCACTCACCTCATAGTCCTAGCCGACCTGTGACAATGAGACTGTCACAGGTCGGCTCAGTAGATCGGGAGGTGAGCGAACACATACCGGGTTCGCTCACCTCTCGATCCTGTCACGGCTCTCTGCCGTGACAGGGGGAGGGGCTGGATTCCCCTCTCCCCGCTCCGATCTGCCAGCGCTGACTGGCGGAACGGACGAGGGAGGGGGAGGGTACAGCTGGCTCTGCCTCTAGATAGGCAGAGCCAGCTGTCACTCACACAGCTGGGCGGATCCCGGCACAATTGTCGGGATCCGCTTCAGCGTCTCAGTATACCGCGAGCAGCAGCTCGCGGTATACTGCGGCGTCTCAGTATACTGAGCCCAGGGTGACAGGAGGACGCTAGTTTGTGTCCTCCCGTTACCCTAAGGAGAACTATGGGGAGAAGCCCTAACCCCATAGTTCTCCTTTAACATCATACTGTGGGGAGTTCTCAAATATTGCTACTTTAAGTAAAAGCAGCCCATTCAAGTGACATTGAGTCAGGAGGTAAATCTTAAAAATGCATTTAAGTACGTTAACTAGTAACAAAAATGTATCTTATTTTTGTATCACTCATCTGTAGATCCTCAAATCATCTCGGAATTGCTGCTGACACTGTCCTTCCTTCTTTAGGGTGACTACTTTTGTTCCCCATGGTCCCCATGTGTGTTG